CTCCAAATGCTGTTCGCTATAGATAGCTCAGAGTACACACAATTTTTACTCTTTGGGGAGATGTCTAATAAGGCATACTCCCACACCCCACCCCCAAGCCACAAAAGACTGATGAAATTCTCCATTTACTATGCTACAGGGCACAAAACACAGAAAAATGGCTGTTTCTACGTTCCCCATAGCTACTGAATCTTAACAATCGTCTGGGACAGCCTCCAAGCAGAAAACTCAAGTTATAGAATAATTACATAATTTAAGAGACAAAAATAAGCTGGCAAAAAAAAAAAAATCCAAGTCATTTTCCTGATTCAGTTCTCTGTGTAGCCATGCAGTTCTACCAGCACTGCAAGGAGGCACTGCAGCAGCAGCGCCAGGGCTGGGACTACTTGAGCCAGCACTGCCATCAAAAGGAGCGGCCACCAGTTGCACCCATACCAGCTGGGAATGGTGCCTTATCCCAGAAATGGACAGCTATCCGGTTTGAGGGATCTAGGGCTGCAGGGATGCACAGCGGACCAGTTGGGATCTCCAGTTTTCCTGACAAAACGCATAATCCTTTGGCAATAGGGCAGCATATTGCAGCCAGCCTAGACCAAAGGAGTATTCTACTTTATCAGGGATGGGAGAGAGGTGAAACTCCGCTCTAAATCAGAAAATCCTATTTATATAAAACCTGTTCTGATGGAATTGGCATTCCCTCTGCTGTTGCCTTAGCTGGTATGGAACTGAAACTGAAAGAGCTTTTTATGGCTTAAAGAACAGCACTGCCATACCAAGTAAACTATCGTTTTAATCTATCATACTCTGAACATTTTATACAATAGAAGATGCATAAATTAAAGCATCTGAGAAAATACTTACCAACCACAGGCTTGGGACTAACAGCAAGTGCCTAAAGAGCACGTTAAATTCAGACCAGCAGCTTCTGGATCTGAGCTCCGTTAACATCATGTCCTTGCAGCTGTGGGTCTTCCCCCTTGTAATTTCACACTGCTGCCTCCCAACTTTTATCTCCCAAAGCCTATCCCTGCCATAAACCTCTTTTTATTAACTCTCCTACCTTTTGCTTGTGCACAGCAAACGTGTAGGTTAACAGTCACAATCCAAATCAACTAAATGCTTCTAAATAGCTTCTACTTGAAGCTAGCAAGGAAATGGTGTCTGCTCGGCTTCACACACAAAGATGATGTCACTTACTTGTGCAGCACACCCTACCAGATCACAATAGCCATTTTACATCAAGTTTCTGTTTCTGGGATTGTGCATTTCCATAAGGTTTGCATACTGCCCAGCAAAACAACTGAGATTTGCACTGGGGATTGTGGACAGTATCCTAACAAGGGCATCACCAAAAGAAATGCAAGTGACAGTAACTTCTTTGTAAATCGCTTTATTTTTTAATCAACGTGATAAACAACTTGTGAATGTTGAGTCAAAATGTCAACTAAAAAAAAAAAAAATCGCTGCTTATTCTTAAAAACAACAGTACTCCATTATAAACTATGCAAGTTTTAATACAAGCCAGCAGTGCTTTTGTTTTGCAACATCTCTGTTTGAGGCATTGCATTAGCAAAGAAACTTTTGGTAATTAGTAGACACAACATAAAGCTGGTAAGTGTTTTTCAGAAGAAGGATGCCCATAGACTATACCTCTAGCACGTGTGGCTCTTCTCAGATCTTTCGGCACGTTTTAGATGTGCACCATCATCCTGCTGTACTTCAGTACCCTGAAAAAAAACCCTGTGGTCCTTCCAACTTCCTCCTGCTATTGTCCCTAGCTCACACCAAATTAGATCCTTTCTTCACATGAGAGCATCATTTTTTTCCCCCTTTTGCTACACATTGAGAACTGGGCAAATACGAGGTCCCCAGTGCTGTCTTTGTTTAGTTGTGCTGACTCTCTCTCCCCCCTCACTTCTAACAGCAATATCTGAAACAAAATTAAAATAGCAGCTGTTAGCAGGTGTATCAAGTGCCCATGTATTTCAAACACAACACACAAAAAGATAAAACTGTCACATCATCTTTTTTACAGTAACATTTTCCCACTGGCTTTCTTTCAATTCATTTAATTTTTATTTCTGCTGCACACCATCCTGCTGGGTACACAATATCTAATGAAACACTAATTAACTTCTTGCATCTTGAGGGGGAAGTCCCCACCTGCCCCAGCGCAGGGACCTGAAACATTAATTCTCTGAAGATATTTATAGGGTAAACAGGTATTACCTGACAGCAGAGCTGCAGTATCCTAAGAGGCTCCATTTGCAGTGATTCAAGGTCACCCTGGTAAATCTGGACTGTAGTTCTACAGCTGGTAGCTCATGTCCAATTTAGCCCCCTCATTCTGCTACCGTGACCTATTAACTAGCCTGTATGTCTGCTGTTAAAAGAGAGGTTACTAGTTTATGTGAAGTCATTTCAGCAACGAAAACTGAAGGTTGCAAACGGTTGGAAATGCTGGTATTTTGGCCAAAAGCAGCAACCTGCAAAGAGCTTTTTTTCCACATCCTTGATTTTCCTCAAGGAATGGCACGGCGTTTTGGCCACTACTATCAAGTGCCACCCAGCCACAAACAATACACAAGCTTTTTTGACAAACTTCCCCTTCCTGGACAATATATCGTCAAATTATCCTGCAAACACTGTACAGAGTAAGGCTGCTGCTTCCATAGACCTTCAGCCCCATTTGTGACAGTGCAACTAGCTGGGTTATAGGGTCACGTATTCCTGATGCCCATTATGTGACGGTTGTTGAGGCACTCCTGCCACAGCAGCAGGCAACTGGTGATTAAGGCATCCTTTGGACTGGAGAGCATGCAGCAGCTCGTTATTAACAGGAAAGACCTACACTCCTGCACCAGAGCATTAATTTCTTCCCTTACCCCACAGATTTTTGTTTTTATTATTATTACTTTTATTTAACTCGTGCACTACACATGAGAACAATCTGCAGCAAGCACTGTCAGATATACTCAGTGCATGGCAGAGCATTCAAGACGATGGCATTCATTTGGAACTGGATGCCCTCCTCTGTTGCTCAGAAGGATTAGAAAGCCTGCTTGCTTACTGGGTAGTCAAATTACCCAAGGCAGTTGGAAAACCCATAGGTAGCTTGTGCAGACTATAAATGGACACAACTGCAGCTAGTTGATACCGTTTCTCTCAAAATAATATAGAAAAATTGGATTTTGTCAACAGGCATGTCAGGTAGGTGGCACAGGGCCCTTTCTCAGAAAGCCTGCTGAAAACACACCGCTTTTAAGCAAATCATTAAGCCTTTAAAATGTATTGCAAAGGAGCAGAAAACACAAGGAGGATCCTCTGAGCTCAGTAATCCCAGTTCTACTTACAAGGCTCTTAATTTTACAAGAATGTCTTCCTGCTAACACAGGTGCCTCCCCCCAAGTCTTGCAAATACACAAACAAGAAAAGCACCAAGAGATCAAAAAACCAGAAGGCAATGAGTCCTAAGTGTGAAATGTTATAGTACAAGCTGGACTTAAAGAAGTCCACAGAGAAGTTTTAAGAATGAGCACAGTCTGAACTTCACCACAGCGTGAATGGAAAGGGGTAATCAAAATGCAACAGACCCACTAGCGAACTTGAGAGAGTCACGCTGTGCACCTCCCCAAGCTGGAATGGGGTCATCTAGTAAAAGGAAAAGGATCGGATGTTTCTAACTTCAAAACAACGCAAGACATGAAACTTGTGTTAACATTTTACACCTGCATACACTAGATGAAACGATGCTGGACAAGTCTCCCTGTCCCAGCCAGCTACCGCCACAGCTTCCAGACACTAACTTCAGTTGTTCCTGCTAGCGCTGTCACCTCTGAAAAGGACTGGGCGAAGCCAATAACCTCGGCACCCCCATAATATTGTAGATTCAAGGTTCTGTGCACTGCAGCATCCTGTGCCATAGCAACACGGCCAAGCCTTTACCAGCCGCTGACTATATATATGTATATATTAGGCAGAAATGAGAAAAATATTTGACGGAGTCAGAAGATGAGCACGTTTACGTGGTGCTGGGTAATGTTAGGCATACAGAGCTGATGGATCTTAACTGGGATCCTGACTAGGAAAGATCTCACCAGCCTTGCTTGCGCTAGGGTTGGTGCTGGATATGATGTGCTGAGGCTCCCCCAAACTACTGTCAGCCTTAGAACTCCTCACTGCAAGGCCTCATTTTTACGAGACACCAGCACGCCGGGCCTGACAACCACGGAGACAGCCCCGACCCTCCCTCGAGACCGAGCCAAGGCCCCCGGGCCCCGCGGCCGGCACTTCCACGGCGGCCGCCCCGGTACCGGCGGGGCCCGCCCCTGAGGCGCGGGGCGGGAAGGGAAGGGGGGGGAGAACCGGGAGAGGGGGAGGAGGAGGAGGAGGAGGGGAAGGGGGGCGCCGCGCGCTCCCGCCGCCCCCGCGCGCTCACCCAGGCGCGCGTCCCGCGGCGGGTTCTCCATCAGCTTCTTCAGCACCAGCGGGAAGGCCCCGGGCAGGCCCCGCTGCTCCTGCCGCCCGCCGGCCCCCGCGCTGCCCCCGGCTGCCGTGGGCTCCGCTCCCCCCCCAGCCGCAGCCGCCGCCGCCGCCGCCGCCTCCTGGTGCGGGGCGCGGCCGGGCATACTCCCCGTGAGGCGGCGGGCGGCGGGCGCCTGCCGGGCTGCCAACGGCTGCCAACGGTCGCGGCGCGCGGCGGCTCCCCGGGCCCCGACGACGAGCGCCGAGCCGGAGCGGAGACGGCGCGCGAGCCGCGCACTGCGCATGCGCGCCGCCCGCCCGCTTCAATATTCATGAGCGCCGCCGCCTCGCCCCGCCGGGATTGGTCCCCCGGCCGCAGGCCCCGCCCACCCCGCCCCTCCGAGGCCGGCGCGGGCACGCGCCCCCCGCCCGCCGGGGCACGTGCGAGGGCAGGCTCCGCGCGGCTCATTTGCATGCGGGGCCCCGCCCCTCGCGCCGCCTCCCGGGCGCTGCGTCACCGCCAGCTGCTCCTCGGGGCGGGGGGGGGAGCGTGGGCGGAGAGCGCTGGCGCATGCGCAGAAGCGATCGTGCCCCCCCTGAGGCGACCGTTAACGGCCGGGGGCTGAGGGGAGGGAGGGAGGCGGCGGCTCCTCAGCGCTCCCATCAGCGGCGCCGCCGCTCCGGGGGCCCTGTCACGGCAGCCGCCCCGCTGCTCCCGGCCGAGGTTTAATCTCCCGCTGCCCTACATAGCGGTGAGAGGCGAGGAGGGGCCGGGCAGGCTCCCAGCTCTCGTGATCCGCCGGTTTCCTCAGCACCTCAGCGCTGGGTGTTCAGCCCCCCCTCCCCCCCAACCCGTGCCCCCCGCCCCAGCCGCGCTGGGATTTAAGCTGCACACACGCAGTAAATTTGGCCGAGTCCAGCCCCGAGAGCGCAGGCAGATGCGGAGGAGCTCCCGCAGAAGGAACGAGCTGACAGAAGTGGCGGGCACCGCAGCTGCAAGGCTTCTCCCGGTGGCAGCCACTGCCTCTTGCTGCAGCAGGGCCGGCTGCAGCAAGCCTGCTGCAGAGCGGTGTGTGAGGCCAGAGGAAAGGGTGCGCAGCCTCCCTCTGAAAGCCCAGTGGGGCCACGCATGCCAACGCAGGGATGTGCCCCTCATGTGGTGGCAGAAAGGGGCCCGCTTCCTCCCGTGAGACGCTCCGACGTTGGCTTGGTTCAGCTGCCCCTCCGCAAGCCTCCCTGGCAAAGGCTCCAGAAATAACTTGGGATGTTTTGTTTCAGTTGCACGGTACAATTTGATCTGCCCCTTGCTAATAAACCCCACTGGTTGCCGAGCCACAAAATCAGGACTGAATTCCTCTTCGCGTGCCCCAGAGAAAGGAACAGCTTGGAAGTCGCATGTGGTAGGTGCTTCCCCCGTCACCTTTTTGCAGTGAGGACCAGGGGATATCCCCATCCAACCTGGGCAGACAAGGAGCCCGTGCTATTTGTGTAGATGAGGCAGAATTTGCTGCCTCCCTGGCAAGGAATGGGTGACACAATGCCTGGGCACATGCTGCTTGGAAAGAGCCACCTTGCTAATGTTGGAGGCGGTCAGGAGGCTGGAACTGCACAGGTTAACGCATCGTTTCAAGGGGGTTTGGATGATAAATCCAGCTGCAAGCAGCATGCAGAACAGGTCATGCTCCACTGCCCGGTGTGTTCCGGGGCTGCCACGTGCCTTCAACAGGCTCCTTCTGCCTTGCCAAGCTCAGCTGGCAGAAGGAACGAGCACATGCGTGGAGGAGAGATGCCACTTCACACGGGGCAATGAAAGGCAGATGTCAGACCACACATGGCAGAGGCAGCGCACACAGCTCGGCGAGGGGCTCGCAGCAGAGCTTTTATCCAGCCAGCAGCTAAATGGTAGGTGGTAACGAGGACGCGACCTAGCCAGGCTGGGAGGGAGCAGCTTCTAGGAACAGGGTGAGGGGCCTTGGCCAGAGCAGGGCGGGCTGTGGGCTCCCCACTCAGCTGCAGCTCTCTTGGTTGCTTTGTTCCATTGTTGTTGATGCTGGAGGCCCCCAGGGATGGTTGGGCCGTGCCTCAGTGCTTTACAGAGCTCCTTCAAGGAACAGGCTCTGTGTGCATCCCCCCTGCACATGGCAACAGCTTTGCTGGGTAATGTCCATGTGAATGGAGGTTGGTACCACACTCAGCGGCCTTTCCTCCAGGGCTTTTCCCTTCAGACCGACCATGTTCTTTCTCCAGCCCGTTTCCACCCCGGCTCAGTAGGTGCTGAACGCTGAGTTCACGCCACACCGCCCCTGCCTTGTGACTCTGCAAGGCGAGGGTTTGGCCTGCAGAGTGTTAGCTGCTCGGCCTGAAGGCAGGAGTTCCTGGGGTGCATTCCTGTGGGTTTCCTCTCACAGCACCCTGCCCGGGCACCATCTGCCCCGCCAGCAAGGAGGGAGGCTGCTCTAAGAGCTTTTCCTCGCTGCCTCAGGCTGGGACTAGGGATTTGAGTCACTGCCAGCACAAAGTGGACGTTGCACCATCAGCTAATACCTTCTTGAGTTGGGATCTGCCTGGTCTTTTACACTTTTTATCGTGCTCTGCAGCTGAGAAGGAAGAGAGGAGGACAATGTGAGGAGAGGAATGCAGCAGCCGTGGCTGTTGCTGCTGTTTTTTTTGGGGGGGTGGACAGATGATGCAGAACAGCCCAGCTTTGATGCAGCAGGGAGGCGAGCAAGAAGCAGCCCAGTGCTAGGCATGGGGGGGGGGGGGAACACGTACAGCAAGCCCCGCTGGGAGGTTTGAATAGCAGAACGCGTTCCTGGGAGCCAGCGAGCCCAGAAGAGGGGTGTGTAGGTACGGAGACCCAGGAGGTGAGCGCTCAGCTCTGCGGGAGGATGGCCACAACGGGAACACACCGGCCTCGGCAGGGAGGCGGCATCATAAGGACAATGCCGAGGGTTACGGGAGGTGATGCTAAGAGGCAGGGTGGTCCTGGAACTGAGGAAGAAAGCTGCCACAAAACAGCAGCCTCAGCTGCCAAACAAGCCACATTCAGTTAAAACTAAATCATTCCTTCTGCAAATCATTGATCCCCCCAGCCCCCACGCCAGCTCGCCAGACAGATCAATCTCGCCAGCGCTCCTCCCTTGGATTAATTCAAGCCACTTGGCTGTGGAGACCAGAGGTCCCGGAGAGCCAGCCAAACTTCAGCTCAGCCACAGCAAGGCTCTGCGCCACGTGAGCCTTCCTTGGCCATCACCACCTCCTCCCCGCCAGGTCCGCTTTCCACCTGGGCACCAGTGAGCCCTGAAATCACTCCCTGGTCCCGACACTGGTCACACCGAGTGATCTGCAAGCATGGCGGGTAACAGGCAAATTCTCGGCGAAGGGGGGAGCCAGCTCGCAGGTGGCAGCAGCAGAGCGACAGGACAAAATAAGCCTCTGGGAGGCGTGGGTATTTCCCCTTCCCCTTTCCCACAGGGAGCCGAGCGGGCACCACGGGGCTTGCTGTGTTCCAGCAGGTGTTGGCAGCTCCTTCACCACCACAGCAGCATCTTTCTCTCCCATTGCCACCCCGGGGGAAAAGCAGGGCTCCCCTCCGCACCGCGGGTCTGGCTCTCTGCTCCCCCGCCTGGGTCACGCTGTGCCTCGAGACTGCCGAGCTGGCCACGTGTCCTGCCGGCACTTCCCTACCCACCAGCCAGCTCGGCGCGTGTTCGTTTCTCTGAGTTGGACTCGCTCATGCCTAGACATGAGCTTGTTGTGCCAAGGTGTTCCCACACACCGCACGACAGCCAAAAAGCAGCTTGCCAAGGGCATGTGGCATCCTATCCAAAACCGGCGAGTTACGTGATGGGCGCCTGGAGAGCGCCCAGCAAGAGAGAATCGGTCGGCCCAGCCTGAAAAACCTCCTGGGTCATTTCCACTTGTTTTCTCAGCGGCTGCACGGAGAGCGGGAGTGCCTAGGAGCACAGAAGTGCTCCTGCAAAGCAAACACAACATTCACTTTGTTTTGTTCCCCAGCTTCCCATGGAGAACCAACTGCAGCATCAAGCACAAGGTCTGCACGGAATCAGCCTGCTCCACGCCAGCCGGGCTCCCTGGGCAGCCCACGTCTGGGGAGCTGCAGCGTCTGCGGGCTGAGCCATTGGGCAGCGGGGATGGAAATCCTGGAAGTTGCTCCTAGGCGAGCGCAGAGGTCTGTGCCCAAGCCTGCTCTGCACACAACGCTCTGAGGGTTTCCAAGAAGTAGCTGAGCGGAGAGATTTAGAGGATCAGGAGCTCAGCACTCCCGCCTGATCTGTAATCAATCCATCGCTGCTGCTTTTCCTCCTAGCTGCACAACACGCTCAGTGCCAGCGCTCCCCGACTCACTCGGCCTCTCAGAGGAAGCACACCCTTGAAAAACTTTTAGCAAACGAGCTCTTCTGCCCCCTCCTCGCCCCGCAACTTGACGAGGGGAAGCAGAAAGCAAAGCAGACACCCGAGCACGTGTTCCCTCCATCCTACCTGTCATTTTGTTGGTCCAGGGTAAGGAGTACTCCAGCAGGGACTTCAGGACTTCCAGAAAGTCCAGGGCAGCGGGGCCCCCAGCACTGTTGCAGCTTGACATGTCCTGTCCCGGGACTGATTTGCGCGGGTGAGGGAGGGCCGGGAGCGGGGCCGCCAACGCCGCAACCCGCTCGCCTGGGCGTTGCAAGAGGGGTTCGGAGGCGCCCGGAGCGGGCTTGCCAAACAACTCCTCCTGAGAAAACCCAAGGAGGAAGGGAAGCAGCCTGGCAGGGATGCAGTTTGCCCAGCTGTCTTCACCTCCCCCACTCCCGCTCTGAAGTGGCCAATTGTGGAAATAGCTTGCAGCCTAGCAGGGCTGGGCCGGGCTGCTGGCCAGCATGGTTTTACAGGGCCCCTCGCAGCCAATCCGACTGCGAAGAACTGGGCCAGTTATCTAACTTTGCAAAGGCAGCACCCTTTTCCTTCCCAAGGTGTTATAACAAATACACACGTTGTGGAAAGGGGAAAAAAAAAGCGCACACACAGTCAGGGGTACGCACATCGGCTGCGAATGCAGCAGCGAACGGATCCTCTCCCCCAAAAGGGCTCTCGGGAGGCTCTGAGGAGCTCCGAGCTGTGCAGACCGCCTCCCAGAGACGCGCACGCAGTGCCTGCATCTGCCTGCTAACTTTCCAGTTCTCTGAGAGGCAGCCAGCGAGCGTGTTTGTATGATGTAGCACTCACTGTGTGCCCCCGCTAAGTCCCTGCTGATTAGAAGCTTAACGCATCTTTCTTAAGCCTGTGGCAGCCCCAAGATGCAGGATTTCTCCTCAGAAGCGACAGGGTCTTTTTCAGAAATCCAGCAGCCTCCTCTCGGAGCGGTGATGTAACGCCAGCGAGTTCATGCACCCTGCAAACACTCCGATAACAGCTGGTTAAGTAAGATCTTGAGCGTGGAAAGCCCCTCCTCTTAGCGAGGGGTTTTAGCAGGGAGGGATGGACTGAAGACAGGATAACAAAGGTCTGATCTTCCTTATAGGGGTCTGCCTTGGGAAAGAGCATTTTACGCCTGCTGGGGTTTTCTCTTTTCCCAATAATTAGAACAGAAGTGCCTTCATTTCTCAGCTTGCTCCTGCCTATTTCAGGAGGCTCAGCCTCGCAGTGGTCTGACTCCCAGCGACCGGGCACGGTCCAGCAAAACCCTGCAAAGCAAGCACAGCTGAGCATGGAGGTAGCCTGAGCAAAGTCACTGGGCTTTTTCTCAGTGCTTAAAATGAAGCATTTCACTGGTCCAACATTTGGAGTGCTAAAAAGCGATAGGGTTTTCAAACTCTCAACAGCCCAGTGTTTCTGTTTTGTCCCATAGTGAAGTGTGTTTGATTTAACTCAATAGAAACCAAAAAGAATTGCCTAGCCAGGCTGGGTGGCTGGGAATTTCAAATTAGCTGGGGAGGTTTCATGATCCAGATCCCAATCTAACCAGGCTCAGGAATTACAAGGTAGATTCTTTGCTATAATTCTTAATTACGATACAATTACATTATAACCTCTTGGGATTTTCCCCGTGGTCTGCTCTTCCCACTTCCATGGAAGAAACCAGCCAGACAGCGATAACCACTGGCGATGAAGCCAGGGAGCATGTTCCCCTTCCAGCCCACACCCATTACAGTGTCCTCTACCCACCCAAAGCCGGAGCCAGCAGACAGCCCCTGCAGATGTTTTCGAAGGTCAGTGGATTTTGGCTGCAGGGAGCAAGAGAAATGATTGCATCTCTTCCTCCTGGAGCACAGCCTGGCTGTCAGGAGGTCTGTGTCCTGTCCTGGAGCCTTCTGGCTTGTTCTGGCTGCTCCAGGCAAAGTGAGAGGGGTCACTTGATACCGCCAGGCATTGCTAACATTTAGAGTTACTGCCATATCTGCCTGGGCCTGCTCCTCATCACAAGGTGGCAAGGTCAAGTAGCTGCCCAGTGCCAGGGGCAGCCAGACCTCCTCGTTTTGCCCCAGGCTCAGGCTTGTCTTTAAAGCTGGACAGACATCTGACCACGTGTCTGGAGGCACCCATAAACTTCACATCAGCTGCGACTGACTGACGGTTATTGCTTTGGCAAATGAGGTTTGTTGGGAGGAAATTGTCACTTAGGATTTTGAATTATTGGTGGATATTTACAAGTGATTGTGTGCAGAGCTGCGAACATACATCTCATATATCTTCTGTTTGCCATATCCACAAACTCTTCTTGATTCATAGTCTCCAGAAGCTGAGCTCTCACCCGGGAGAAGAACTGGGGCAGCATCACCAGCAGGATGCATCAACAACGCCCTGACCTCCAGCCTTGGGGAAGCAGAAACTATGCTGGGGAGCAGAGGCAGAGGAGGGGAGCATCCATCTGCCCTTGTGTCCCCACCACGGAGAGTCCTTGAGCTCCTTTAGTGAATGGAGTTGGAATGTTGGCTCTGTGTCACCACGGAAAGCTGCAGGCATGGCCATAGATTGCATCATTTGTGCTGGCTGCACCGTTATCAGATCACCAAGTTATTTATTTTCATCATAATGCCATGTCAGCAAAGGTCTCAGCAGCTCTGCTCCATCACTCAGAAGCCCAGGCAGCCCCTAACAGCACATTTTTCTCACAGACTTGACCAGCACAGTCAATGCCCTAAATGGGTGGCACACAGAAGGGTGCGTTGAGGCGGGCCAAACTCCAGGAACACCTATTTAAATTGTGTTCCTGGGTGTACCTTTATTTTAAAACCCTAATTCTGCTCCTCTCTTCAGAAGGATCTTTCTTCAGAGGGCTGTCACCAGGCCTGAAGTGCACCAGCACCTGCAGATCCGACTGCGAGGGTTATCAGGCCTGCCTCCCTGACACCTTGAGGCCCCGAGGAAGTGTTGGACACTCAGACTTCTCCAGTACAACCGGGTTTATCACAAGGAGCTGGTGAGTGGGGTTCTTTGCACAGATCTCCAAGCTGCCATGTTTCCCTCAGCTTCTGGAGCTGCCTTTCTGCCTCCCCTCACGGTGCTCCTTCAGAGCCACCTGCAGCCCCAAAACACGAGACGGTGACACACCTGGGTGCTTTCTTGGGCAGAAACTCCTGCAAATTGTCACTGTGGGCCTTGTACTAGGTGGTGGCACCTGGCTGCAAGCTGATTTCTGGGGCTGATGCTTCCTAAGGAAGCTTAGCTGTGTGTTACACGTAGCTGAAAGCACAGCTCGTGGGGAGCCCACCAGCAGCGGGGACGCTCAACCGAAGAAAGGCATTCGAGGTTATTACTACTAATTGCTATCTCAGCTTCCCCAGGTGAGATGAAAGCGTGGCTCAATAATCCAATGGAACGTTTCCTCTTAGAAAGTAAAAAACACATTTTTGTCTGATTTTCCAAGGACACAAAGCTTACACAACAGTATTATCTACCCATCCATCTATCCACCCCTCCCTTACCCAGAACACACTACCCACTTTGACAAAGGGATAAATAGGTTTAAATATGTTTTTCTACCTGGCAGCTAAGCTAGGAAGAAGAGAGAGTCAAATTAATGGCTCCTCAGTGAGAAAAACCTGCTGGTTTTTGTTCTGTTTGATCTGGGGCACGTGCATTGGTAGCTGAGACCCCAAAGCATGTGCTGCTCCTGGCAGGCAATAGTGAGGAGAAGCCAGCAGAACTGAGGGGACTTTGAAGGGACAGACAAGGTAGCTACTCCCCTGAGGTGTACCTGGAAATAAGGACAAAAATCTGTGGAAACCTTTAGAAGCTTTACAAACCACGCTGCTCTCAAAACAGCTTTCTTTCTTTTTTTTTTTATTTCAGTCACCTGAGACCATTCAGCAGCACAACCATTGTTTGGAAATTTCCTTACAACCTCACACGGGGATGTCTTCTGCTGCAGGTCCTACAGATCAAACCTGCCCCTCACGGTCTGGGTGGTCCCAGTTCTTGCACCAACCATAGCTTGGTCGGTGGGTTCCTCTTTCTTCTTTTGTCCAAGCAAACCCTTTGCCAGAGGTCACGTAATTTTATTTTTTCTTTTCCTGGCTCCTAGGACAAATAAACACCACACTCCAGTGACAGCTTCCACTGTGGGAACCTACCTATTTATTTGCATAATGTGTAGGGCTTAATAGCATTTTTCTTTTCACCTTGGCAGAGGCTGGCAGGTTGAATTTCACCAGGACCTTTCCGAAAGAACATCTGAACACTTCCTGGCACCTCTTCTATGGGGTTGAGATGCTGCTGGAGGTGACGGGCATCTGCGGAGCTGCGAGGACACCCAGAATGACAGCAGCAAGGAAGGCTGCGGCCAAACCAGGTGAGGCTGCATCCACAACAGAATACTTCGAAAGGAAAGGAGGTGGGAGAAGGAGTGAAGAAGCCAGCACAGGAGACAGGATAGCTGAGGGTGGTAAAAGCAGCACTGGGGCTCTGCATTGGCCAAGGTGCTAAAGACAGCCTGGTGCCTGAAATATGGCCATGACCCTTTTTCATGGCAGCACTGAGGCACGGACACGCCGTTACGCTGAGCCCCCTTCCCACCTCCAGATGGGCTGCCTCCTCCCCAGGCAGGGCATCACACGCGAACACACCTAGGTGTATGTGCGCACGATGCCTCTGTCCCTGCGTGGAGGAGGGCAGCGAGCTCCTCCGTCCTCACTCCTCACTGCTGGCCCTGGCGTGGCCTTTGGCACCCACATCTCCCCGTTGCAGGGATACGGCCCTTGGAGAGAGGCAGTCAGTGGCTTTGCTTGCTCTGTGCTCCAGAGCTGGCAGCAGGACAGGTGCCTCCCGCAGCCCCGTTGGCACTGCTGGGATCTCCCAAGTGACTGGCACAGCTCAGCACAAGGACCCACCTGCACCTCCTGCCTGAGGCAAAAGGATTTCTAAAAACTAATTCCCCCCCCAAATGAGTGCCAAAAGCTAATGAGCTTTTCCTTCCCACCTCGCTGCCAAGACATGCCTCCCTCCTGGCGTGCTCACATGGCAGCCAGCTTCGTGGCAGCTCTGCAGTTCGGCACGTGGCCTTCCCTGTGAGGTGTCTTTTTGCCAGAAAACGAGGTGTTTAGGCAGGCAGATAACGTGAGAAAGATGGGATCACCAGAAGTTGTGCCGCCCTGGGCAGGAAGGAAACCTACAGCTCGTTCTGCATTTCCCTGCTCCGGAAATGCTCTGGGAGCCTGGGCAGAGCTGGCTTTGGGAGCTCTCCATGCAAGCCTTTGCTTTATCAGACCCTTGGCAGCAGGCAGAACCCCTGAGATGCCAAGAGCAGCAATAAACCGAGGTGTTTAAAGCAGGCTGGGGAAACCCAAGGACAGCAATTGCTGGCCCTCTGCCAGGGAAAAGGGCTGTGTGGAGCAGCAAGAAGATGCATGCTCCTGCAGCCATTTCCTTCTCAAAACGAAGAGGCTTCTGTCGAAATGAGCTCAGCCAGCCCTCAGCGAGCCCTTCCCAGGCTCACTCACCTGCCTCAGGAACGATGTGGCTCCTGGCAGGAGCAGGGACCTTGAAGCACTGAAGTCGAAGAGGTCAGAGCCCCATGGACTGACAGAAGAGTCAACAGTGTGGAGAAAGGATGGGAGCTGAAAGAAAACAACTGAGAAGCCTGGGCAGGCTGGCTGCAGCTGATCCCCAAAAGCCAAGATAGGAATGTTGGGGTCTTAAACAGGAGACAGACCAGGCTGCTGAAAGTCTCTTTCAAACAGGCTGCTTCTGTATTGAAAATGCAGCTCAGCTCTCCAGGGCAGTGTCCAGTGCAGTTATCCTCAAGCCGTTTGGCTGAGGAAAATTGAGGCCATCTCCCTCCCATAGAACCAGGACTTTCCCTCTCTGCTGCTGAACTTTGCTGGGGTACAAACAGGGGAGCGTGCCTTGGTGTTCATTTAGAGAAACTATGCAGCTTTTTTTCATCCTTCCTGAGCGTCTGCCTCGAGGGCCCCAGCACTACCGAAGGCCCACTACTAAAGCAGACAGAGGAAATCCACAGAGAAATGCACGAAACAGCACCTCCAGCACTGAGTATTTTTCCGGTTCCCAGCAAGCCAAATCCACTCTGGCATCTGGGTTTAGAGATTTCCATCTCAGCCCTGGGTAAATGTCGTTTTTGGGAGGATTAAGCCAGATGGTAACAAATAACCCACTTTCCTGGGACTCTCAGCTATGTCCGTACTTCCCAAGGCTCTCGGGGGAAAAGAAAGAAAAAAAAAAGTTTTCTGGGATGCTGCCATCTCTAAGCTAAACTGCAGAGAGGAGCATCCGTGAAAGGGGCAGTCTCGGGAGCTGCTGCAGTGGAGAACAAGTCAATCAGAGCTGTCTGTTCCCTGCTCTCATCCTTGCTGCACCTGGATCTGCTTTCAGGAAACAACACCCCTGCCCTGGGGGCACCAGGACCTGCTGCTCCTGCCTCCAGCGGGCTGCAGAGAAGCAGGAAGCAAGAATCCAGCAAGTGAGGGGGAGAGGTTATTGGCAACGGGTGGGCCCTGGCCCTTCCCCTGCCATCCTGGGGAGAAAGAGGTGAGGCTGGGCAAGACAGGCCAGAGCTGCTGAGCAGCATCCACAGCTTTTCAGGAAGCCCCAAGAAGCCCCATGCCCAGAGCCACCCCATAGGTGCCCTGCCATCTGTTCAGCACCTTCCTCTGCCCTGCACGAACTGTTTGCTGCTCTCCTCGCACACAGCATGATGCAACACGGCCCCGCTCTGAGCACAACGGCTGCAGCAAACAATTACCAGCGATAATCACGCTTGCCTCACCTGCTGTCACTGCCCAGAAATGTTTCTCTGCGGTGTGGGAAGGCAGACTCAGCCACAAAACTGCTTAGGAATCCCAGCTGCAGCTTACAGGCTTGGCGAGGCAAACTGCCTCCACTGGGCTGCTGCAGGGTGGCATTAAAGGCCTTCAGTGTGCAGCCTTCCTCCCACTTTACAACCTTCCTCCCATTGCTCAGGGGGCTCTTCCCCTGCTCCTTTCATTCTTCCCCAGGACCTGAATCCTTCCTGGCTGACCTTGTGCTCTGCCCCTTGCCTTAATGTCTGCCCGGGTTCCCGGGAGGGTGTGAATACTGAGCTCACCACTCCTCTCCCTCTCTCTTCAAAATATGAGATTCTTTTCTTCAGTGGAGAAACAGTGGTGAGTGTGCCAGGAAACCACTGCCATGTTCGTGTTGTTTTCCTCCTCATGCTTTGTCTGCCCTGCAGTTTGACAGTTTTGGTCTCCATTGGATGGGGAAAGCTACACTTGCTCTTGTCAGTAGGGTCTCAATAACCCGTGGAGGGTAAAACTAATGCTTCTTGTGTTGCACGTACTCGGTTTAGCAGCTTAAAAGTGCAACCGTCTTATTCCCTCTGCACTACAAGCTCGTGTTCAGGCCTCTCCTCCTTTGACCAGAAGGATACGAGCTGTGTTTGCATCCAGGCGCATCGGGGAGATGCCTATCAAGCCTCCCCAAATCAGATCTCACTGGGTATGACCTTCTGGTCTGATTGTACAGCAGTAGCAGGGTGTCTCCATGGGACCCCCCTGTCTTTGCCACATCTTCAGCTTTGGCTTGATCAAGAATCCCAGATTGAATCTGCATCATGATGGATTGGCAAAGGAAGACAAACGGAAAGGTTTTTATTAGTAAATGTTTTCACACTGACATCGTCCCTCAGGTGTGATCTTCACTGCACGGCACCGTGCCAGGGGGAATCTGCGCAGATGCTTCTCATGGCTCGAGCTGCACGCGACTCGGGGGTGGGAGTAAGGGCATTTTCCCTGGCAGGGCGCTCACTGGCAGGCGAGAGAACTGGCTGACCCAGTTGAACAGAGCAGTCTACAGAGCAGAACAACTTCCAGATTATTGAGGCGATTATGAGACCTGGATACTGGAGGTTTCAAAACACAGGTTATCCCAAACATCTGAAACTACGTGGTAATGCAGAGCATGTACATTCTTGGGGCTTAGGGGAAAGGACAAAAACACAACAACAACAACAACAACAAATTTTAAACACATCTAAAGTTCACAAGAACTGAGTGTCTGATGAAAAACTGCAGAATCTGTTAATATGTATATATTAATATGTATACGTGCAATTTTCCACTCAGCAAGAAGAACAGCAGATTATACTGAAGGATGGCAGAAAGCACAAACAACGCAGTGCCAGCAGTCCTCCCTTTGCTTCCCCCGATACGGTAAGGAAAAAAGGCTTTGTGGGCTATTTGAAAAACGCACACACACACTGTATCAGGAGAGGGTTTAAAGTGCACACTTTTATTTTCTATTACAAAGGCTAAAAGAAGCAAGTTTGTTTGTTTGTTTTTTTATTTAAGAACAAAACCAAAAATGTTGTTAAAACATCTACATTATTATCCTGATACTATACCTTATGAAAGATACTAAGTTCTTTTTTAATAGTAAAGCGTGGTATTCTTAAATTATATTAATACAAAGACATATTAAAGGACTCAAAATCATTACTACCCAGCTCAGAACTGCAGCATCCCCTTGCTATCTTTTCCTTTCACTTGCTAAAACCCATCCGTTTTTGACATACAGTTTCATACAAGCTAAGTAGGGTATTTTATTTGTTTTATTTTTTTTCCCCCTGCAAAGGTCAGGTTCACTCCAACAGCAGCGTGACTTAAATCCCTGCCCTTACCAAAGGATTTGGGCAAAGATTTTCACCAAGTCCTTCAGCATTTAACAAGCTGATCTAAATGAAAGCCTCTGCTCTGTGCGTATGTGTGGTTATTGTACAGGATATGAGATTTTCTTCTAATGTTATAAAGTTAAAGCATCACTTCTGTTAATAACCCTTGGACTTGGTTCTGTGCTTCAAAATTTTCTTCTTCCCTCATGTGGACTATTGAACAAAAGAGGGAGTTATCAAAGGGTCTCGTGAATGCACCACTAAAGCAGCCCTACAACTTACTTGTGGTTTAACTGCTGCACAGCTGTGAGCGCTGAGCATTACTGCTGAGAGTACGTAACATGCTGAAGAAAACCCTCTTGATGTGATAAAGTGAGCCTGGGAAGCCAAGTGTGAAGCTTCCTGCCTTTTACAATGTCCCCTTAAATAATATAAGCAAAGCCTTATTATTAAAACTTTACTCGCTAGTTAGCACTATAATACTCTTTCACTGAGATGGGACTGCAAGGACATCATAGGGGGTTTTAAAAGCATCACCAGGGAAACCTGTCCCATCTCAGAATTTATACCTATCTATATAAAACCCTCCCCTCTGCGATTTCCCTTTCCCAAACCCAAATAAAAGTCTTCATATTTAAAACTGGAGATGCTGCGTTTCCTGGCCCGAGTCCTTTTCCTTTACCCTCATTAAAAAGATTCTTTCGATACCACACACATATAATATTATATAGAGCGATATATTTAATACCTGTGTATATATGCTTCATGGGAGGGGTCACATATATACACACTAAAACAAGTCTGGTGACAAAGTACTGCAACACCACAGACCAGGTTATCATATCAGGGAAAACAAAAAGAGATACTCAACGCAACACCCGTGACGGTGGGCCTCCCTCCCCTCACGCACGCTTGCCCTCTCCCCACCTCAGCCCCGCCAAGTAGCTCAGCTCTCCTTGCAGAGGCAGGGAGAGGGGACAGCGACCCACTCTGTAACCTAAAACAAGTTATTGTATGAGAAATCATGGCGCAGCGAACACTTGAGTCACACTTAGAGATGCAGGTTTGCTTGAAAAACAAAAACATTTGCCAACATTCCCCAATCCAGATTCGCTCCTTGGCATCTCAGCCCAGGAACAGCAGAACGAGATAACCCAGGAGCTTTTGCCTACCTCCTCCCCGGGCTCTCTCTGTTTATCAGGTTGACCAGTTTGACACAAGGAGCACCAGCAGCAAGTACGATCCAGACAGCTACAGCGAAGAGCAGAGGAGAAAACACAGCACCTGACCACTCAAACACGGCCGTGCGTGACATTGCATAGGCCACTCTTCTTCTCCATAGTACAGATCCTTCTGCCTCTCCTTCTCCCCTCACAGGGGCAGAGCTGGAACTTACCACTTCCCTCTTCTCCCAGATCTACTGTAAGCCACCCGGCTGTCATCAGGTGCTACAATCCTGGCCCCTTCCAGGCCAGATCTCAAGGTGCTGTACGACCAGGAAGGGAAACTCATATGAAACTGCTGATGGCCATCCCCATTTTACACGCAAGGAAAGAAGCTCAGAGGCACGTTTGGCTTATTTGGGGCACATCATACCACCGGGAAGACCCAAGGCCAGCATGCAGCACATGCTCCTGGGCCACAACTGCCTCAGTGTTGCTGACGCAGCTACCTGGAGGCTGGTTTGGAAAGGTGCCAGCTGTCCCTACAGCATCTCCTGCATATTTCCATCTCTCCTGAAGCTGGGAGCCCCAAGGATATGGGAACAGGCAGGGAAAAGAGGGACCCAACAGTGCCAAAGCACCCTGTGGTACATGGCTAGATTGTATTTACTGGGGATATCGTGCTGCCTGCCAGCCCTGAGGGCCCTGAGCCTGCTGTCCTGGGAGATTCTGTACAAAAAAAGACCTCGCCCTTAAAGGCAGGGAGGGAGATGCATTGGTGTTTGAGAGGATGGTGCATATAAAACTGCAGAGTGCAGCTGGACTGCGAGAGGAGCGGGAAACTCAAGGCAGGATGTGTTTACTGCTTGCAGGATGAGACCTGTGCTCATAGCGCGCTTCCAGCTGGATTCCCAGCAGCAACACGCCACCAGAACCAGGCCCGCTGCATTGGACCCACGCTGCACAATGGTGTCCTCTGAATTCAGTCCCCACCCGATTCCTCTGGTGGTGCAGGAATAAACAGCTCTAAGTAACGACTGACATACATCAGTTAAAGAGCAAGAAGGGAACCCCATTACCTCTCTCTTCAGGACACAAGCGGACAGAGGAATCCAGGCTCCTTTTGGTTACAGCCTTCTGGCCACCTGACCCTGCTGCGTGGAGTACAGTGATGGATGGTGTGTCACAGTCCCCACTACACCTTCTAGATGGCTTCAGTCCTACCTGTACCAGTTGCACCAGCCAAAAAAAAAACAAACCAAAACTTCCCACCCCAAAAACCTGTTGCACACTTGAGAAAGATGTCTAATGAGGCATCACCAAGTTGCTTCCTGGGTGCTGTCCGTCAAAACAGTCTAAAGTCACACGGTTCAGTTCCCAATACTGCAAGCAGTTTTGTTACATTGCTGCTTTTAGCTACGCTGTGAATACCAAAAGGCTGTTCTCTTCAACTCCAGCTGATGCCTCAGGGGCATACACTCACCAGGGGTCTAAGCCCAGATGTTTAAGTCAGATCTAGTGGTTTTCCTTCTTTGCATCTCAGTTCCCAATTCTTCTGGTACTGAACTCCCAGAAAAGCAGGCCAACTGCAGCAGTGTAAGCCGGGCTTGCTCTTGCAGCACTGAGAAAAGGAGCACATGAACTTCATGGTCCCCTTTTCACCAGACATCTAGCTCTTTCTCTCAGCTTCGTCTTCCTGATCTCTGCAACCACACTCCCAACTGAAGGGCAGGGGAATGACAAGGGGAAATTCTCCGATTTGCCTCCCGGTACAGACTAGGTTCGTTCATTTAAACAATGGACAGCAAAAACAAGAAGATGGAGAGGAAGGAGAATTTGGGGGAAAGAACAGAGAGAAGACAGATCACAAACTCTGTGAGCATGGCGTTCGCTGGCCAAGGAGAATCAAATTCACGTTTTCATTCACCACTAATAAATCATCGTCTCAAAATCTTAAAACGAAAAGAAAAGAAAGAGTTCTCTTTGCGAGACACGGATCTCGCTCGCCCTGCTACCGCCGCTCTCGGAAAACCCACCCAGCGTTTCTCCAGCCGACAGGCTCCCCCCGGCCCCTTACTATACGCCGTCCCGCAATAGGAAGTTGTATTTCCCGAAGTCGTCGTCCCGGGGGCAGAGCAGCATGTCCTTGCGGGCTTTGGCCAGTTTCTGTTTCAGCACCTCCCTCCGGTCTAGCCACTCTGTCAGCTCGTCCTGGCCGTGGGCATAGCGACACTCCTCTCCTTCGGGGCAGGCCTTGTTCTTCTGGAACCTGCCAGCGCAAGGAGCACCATCAGTGGGGTTCCCCCACCGGGGCAGGGTTTTGAGCTCCCCACCTGCGAGACTCCATGGGGGCCCACCAAAACTTGCCGCAAGCTCTCCCTTCTGAGGGCGAGATGATTCCCCTACAAGCCGCGGGCAGCCAAGGGGAGGCAACATGCAGGCTGGGCACAGACATGGAGCAGCGCCTGTGAGGGGGGTTAGGCCACAGAATGAAACGGTTTGAGCTAGAACTGGACCAGGGATGAGCAGAAATAACCACATGAGAGAGGAAATGCCAGGTAACTCTGGACAGCCACAAGAGGCACAGCCTTCTCTCTACCCAAAACAGCATTTCTAACCATCACAGGCCTTCTGAAGACACCTCAAGGCGCTGATTCAGAGGGTGTGAGACATTCAAACCATTTAATAAAGCACCTGGGATTCCCCCCAGAACTGGGCCAAGCAGACTCTGTTTAGCAGCCTGAGAGCTGAGCGCAGCCTGGCCACACAGGGCATGGGTGCAGACACGAAGCTCGCTCTCGTTTTCTGAAGTCACATGCCCGGGAATGTGTTTTTACCACTAAATTGTGTGGTTGAACACCCCTGGGGTCCAACACAGCCCCACCATCACCCAGAACTGTCAGCTCCTTCCACTGCCCCTCCAAGTGGAAGCCCATGGGGACTCCGGGCGAGGAAGAGGAGGAGGATGGATGGATGACGGAGTCCCTGGGCCCATCCCCGCTGCAGCGGGGCACGAGGGAGATGAGGCCGTGCGCACGGTACCTTTCGCAGAGCTGGAACTCGCCCATGGGGAAGCGGTAGCTCCAGCAGCTGGAGTCGCTGTCTGAGGTGAAGACCTTCTCCTTGTGCTTCTCCGACTGGATGTGCTGCTGCCACTGCTTCTTGCTGTTGCTGTTCTTCCCGCAGAGCCAGCAGTGGTAGCCCATCTAACCGGTGCAGAGAGAGGGCAAAAGGCCGGTCAGGGCGTGAATATCCACAGCCACCGGCCTTCCCCGCACCGGCACTGCCTCTCCCCATGTCACTGCACAGCCTCCCACACTTCCCTGCCACGTCATCTTCAGGGCACCACGCTGCCACGATGGGGGAGCAGAGGAGATGCTCTGCCTGGGTGTCAA